TGTAAGAGGGTAAAGTGAGTTATAACTGGAATTCTAGGGCCTCTGGGATGCTTGAGCAGTGGCCAATTTGGGGTGAGGAAGCCTTTGACTTGCAAAACCTTTAAGTGGATGACTTGAACTGACTTAACATGGTAGGTTGGCAGTAGATGTTCGCCAGACAGATTTTGTGGAACTGCGGCTGGCGGGTCTTTGGCTTGGCTCCGATCCACAAATGCCACACGAAGGCCGCTGAAGGCCGCGCTGCATCACTTTCACCGATCCCACCCCTTTCACATCCGTCAAAAGGACTTTCTTCTGCAGAGTAGTCAGTCGCACCCTGCAGAGTAGTCCAAAAGGAAGATCGAAGACAAACAGATTTCCTTCTACGACCCCAGTGGTTTTCAGGGTCTACGTGAATCTGCAGGAGGGTTGTTTTCACATGTTTTCACCATAGAGTCCATGCAATCAGCAGGTTTGAACAAAGAGCTGTTGTAGGGTGGCTCTTTGAGCTCTGTTTGACCAACCATCCACGATACAGTGGGTTGAGAGGTTCGATGGCACAATCCACAAGATCGGTGGCTTAGATGGACCCCTGTATAAAAGACATTTTGGGGTTGTGCCATCTACTCTGAAACCACTGTAGAAAAGGTAAAGGTTTCTGGGCTGTCGATCCAGTTTAGAACTTCTGAGACTGCTTGATCTTAAAACAAAGCCATTTGAGTGTGAGTCAACAACCTGCCCCCCCGTCACCATGTCCCACAAGCAATCCGTTCTGTTCAAACCTGAAGTTGTTGTAATTCCAGCGGGTACTTCCACGGGTTTCGACGAACCGAAGCCATATTAATCGAACGTGCGGTTGTTCGATCGATGCCAGGAGTGACCTGATGTACTACAGCGGTGGCATCTACTCCAGTGTGGCACATGGGCAGCGTGCGGAGTGGGAGCCTGTGGACCATGCCGTCTTACTGGTGGGCTATGGATCCGAAGATGGTAGAGACCCGGCGACGACGACTGGGACGGGTGGTAGGTGGGGTGGTAGATGCACGGCACGGGCCCCTGGGGGGAAGAGGCTCTTTTCCTTGATAAGGTGGATAAGAGGGTCCAGTAGTGTGAAAACCCCCCAAAAGCATCTCCAAAAGACATTGAAAGACCATTGAGTCATTGAGAGATTTTGGATCGTTGTCGTCTGGTCATCCAACACTGGGTGTTTTTGGGCCTTTGGTCAAGCGACCTCATCTCTTTTTTTGAGAAAACGTCCTGAATACCTGAGAAAACACATCCCTTTGACTCATCCCTTTGTCCATTGGCCGTTCCGCCGCCCAATGGCATGAGCCCCTGCTCCGCCCACCTCGGTCTCTCGGGCGATCTGCGGGTGTTGCGAGGACGTCGGTGGCGTCGGTGGTTTGGCTTTTACATGTACGTGTTGATGGATGAATAGAGGCAACACACCCGGTCTTGTACAACCAAGTCCCAAGTCTGGAGTACGTGGTATCTGGCGGTTGATCCCTCGATTCTGATCACTCGGTTTGCTGATGAGTCTGCATGTGAACGTGGACGGAAGAACGCCGGAACGTCTTCCCCACGCCCAAACCGTGCGCAGAACATCTTCGATCGCCCCCCTCGGCCCTGAGCGAGGAAAATATTGGCTGCTACAGAATTCTTGGGGCCACGACTGGGGCGAGGCAGATCTTTGGACGAGAGTTGTGTAATGAGTGGTGTGAGACTCCGTTTTCTGGGGAGAAAACATGAGCCACAGCAAATCTGTTGGAAGGCGTAAGGCCCCTCTCTGGTTTTTTGAAGGGTTTCTGACGAGCAATTTTCCAGATGATCAGACGAGCTGCTTTGGCAAATCTTCTGCCCCAGGTATGCTTTCCCTTTTGTTTTACTGAAAAGTTGACTCAGGTCGTACCATTCAGTAGCTAGGGCATTGCTAGTAGCAAGAAGCTACTAGGTGGAGGCCATCGCTACGAATGTAACCAGATTGAGATTCCTTCGGACTTCAGATTCGCTCGGGTCGACCGGGGACGGTTCAGTCAAAAGTCAGAGGATCCCCGTGTTTTGTTTAACCGTGCGCGCTTAATTGATTGTTTTTTTCATGGGTGAAACTTGTTGAAGGTTGGGTCGGCTGCGCAAACGAAGGCTCGTACAACTCATGATGGGGTGGCGAGCAGCAATGATTTCAACACTCGCAGTCTATTTGTCGGTGTGCCTTGCGAGTTGTGTCGTGGACAGGTTCTTTTCTTTTCTTAGAAAGCTGCTGGGATTAGAGCTACGCACCAGCAGAGTGAACCTTTTAACAGAAGCAGTTGGATGACGTGAGACTTGGTGCAGGTTTCGCCGAACCTTGAGGAGAACATCATGTTTTTCCCTGGTTTCACCCCGTCCCAACCAGAAAGAGTTCTGGATGGAACGAGTTCCCCGTCGTCCCAGCCATTTTCCGATGTAAAGGATCTCTGGCGCTGGTGCCAGAACTTGGGTTCCAACCAGAACTGTTTCTGGTTGGGACTGGGGGGGTTCAGGTTCATATGTTTTCTGCGGCTCTTGCTGCTACAGCCATTTTGCTGTGCTGATGCGATGCATAAAGCCTTTTTATGGGTTGGCATTGGGTCGGCGAAAGCTGTTGTCCTAGCTGGACTCAGTGCATTCATGCTTGTGAGATCTGATGAGCGGATCTCCAGGGCAAGAGAAGCAACGTGTTGATGGTGATGGGCTGTGAAGGCTGGCAGAGGGTGTTGGGTCGCAGGCAGCTTGAGCTTGTGCTCAGCGATTGCACGGAAGATCGCGGTTTGGCTCTGAAGGCGTTCAGGGAGGATCTTCATCTGCACTGTGTGAAGTGCACGTGTGGCGAGGATGATACTAGAAGGGAGAAACCACCACGGGATTGCCCTTGATTTTGTGCACCTATGGTGATCAAGTATGGATCCTTCACTGAAGTGAGAGTGTTGTCGGAGATCAGGGCCGAGGACCAACTAAAGCTGGGAAACATGTGCCGACTGCCGAGCGGGCCGAGCGGTGTCAGGCTCTGGTGTTGAGGCAAAAAACGATCCAACAGCTGCGACAGGGGAGTGGCCTGGTTTGGGGTGCTTGCAAGTGCGAGTTCGGCAGGGCAAGTTGATGCTGCATTGCAAGGCTTGCCCGTCAGCTTGTTCTTTGCAAGGTCAGCTGGACAGATTGCTCGGGCAATGTCGGGCCAGGCCTTCGCAAGGCCTTCCAAAGGGGCTCGCTATGACGTGGTTATTTTGAAAAAAGGATCTTTGTTGGCGGATTGTTCTCTCATGATGCATACCACCCTCCACTCACACAGCGGTGGGAACTGTTTAGCTCCTAACTGTTTGGCACCTAACTGCTGGGAACTGCTGGGTCCATGTCATCCGGTCACGGACGGGTCTTCCAGGACTTTTGTTCTTTCATTTGGAAAAGAGGCCTCAATCATGTCTCTAGCTTTTTGTGTTCGTGCCTGTTCCTTGATGGCCAGTTCTTTGCTCCCTGGTGATTGATGACATTGTTGCCTTTGATCCTGTTGTTTAATGAGAGTTGGTGGAGTTCTGGCAATTGAATGACCTTTCCCATTGCCTCTCCTGTTGCCGTGGAACACTTTGCCCCTGGCTCTTGAGGGGCTGCTGTATGCGGCTCCTCGCATCCTGCCCAAAACACCTCTTTCACTCTTTCAATGGGACCTGAGACCTCCCCGCTTTTGGGACGAGTTTGGTGCTCATTGAAGGCGCGTTGGTCCTTTCTTGCAGGATGGCTTCATGCGCATGGCCCGTGGCATCGACGAGAGTGGCATCGAGTCCATCGCCGAGGCCGCGGACGTGGAGGTCACGTCCTCGCCCAGGCCGAGCGAAACGACCGCGCGCGCGGAGACCGCGGACCGCGGTCTCTGGGTGTAGAGAAGCGAAGTGGCATGACTAGAGGAAGAGAGGTCCACGACGCGTCGTCCACGCTATCGTATTGGTGTAGGAATTATGGATTCAAGCCTTTTTTGTGGGGTGACCATGGTGAGAATGGTCAGTTCAACATTGGAGAGATGGGGCCAGATGGGGAGACAGAGGGGTTTGAGCTCTTTCTGGTCGATTTTCCAGGCGATCGAAGTGGCGAAGTGCTCTTGCTTCGCGTTTGGACTTTTCACTGCAGAATTTGTAGGAGTACCTGAGTGCTTGAGTCCTCTTTGGGGTGGAGCGACAGCAGGATACAGCAGGTTTCCTTGGTATGAAGGGTCAGAGATCAAGCGTTCGGGGAGGCGTTCGAGAGAGAGAGAGAGAGAGAGACATTGACGCCCTTGGCCTATCCATTGGTGGCTTGGTCTCAAAGACCACATGCTCACCAGCTTCAGAAACCACACATCACAGGTACATGGTATCTATAGGCTATAGGTACCATCTGGTACCATCTGGTACCCGTACTCTTGGATCGAGGCTTTCTTCAGTGGATCACAGGTTGAAGAAAAGGCTACACTCATGTTTTCACTCCCGAGGCTTCCTGGCCCACCGATTTCATGGTCTGAATTTCGGTCCCAACCGAGCTCCTTTGCTCAGGAGTTCACCAGGTCAACCGAACTCTTTTAATGGTCGAACGGAAGGCCTGTTGATTAATATAACCCTGCTACCAAAATGGTGTTCCATCTCCATATGGTGTGTGTGTTATCAATCAACAGTGTCTACATTCTTCTGAGGATATTCACTGACTCACCCCACTGTCCACTGTCACTGCTTCACCTGTTCACCCGGTTTTACTGAAGCTGCGTTCGGCAGTTGTGTTCGGCTTCAAATCCGATGACGGCATGGTTGGCTCAGGCGATGAGGTACAGGGCGTTTGAAAGACAAAGATCTGCCGATCTTCACTTTGCCTCACAACATTCCAGTCACGCTCCTGGCAGTGTAGGACACTCCAGTCACGCACTCCCAGTCACACACTCCCTGTCACGCGCATCTCAATCACACTCACAACCACACAAGCTTGTACTTGCTGAACAAAGAGCAGCGGAGGTTTTCAAGAGATCCAATCTTTAGTTCTTTCCCGCCCCTTTCCAAGATTCTACTTCGTTCAAAGAACCGTTGTCTTCCTCGCCCTCTTCGGGCTGCCTGTGGGTCCTGCGCATGTCGACCGACTTGACCGACGGCGTCGATCACGGCGTCAGCTGCGGACCGACGCATGAAGATGGAGTTCTGGAGATTCAGGTGGAGAAATCCCCGTTTTGATAGACTGAGCATGTTCTGAAGCAGCCCCGCAAAAATCATGGAATAGACGGGTTTATTTATATACACTCCTTTTCTTTTCTGAAGAACATATATAGCTTATTAGTTTCGTCTTTTTTTTTGCGTAATCCTTGTATTCCAAACGATCAAGGCAGTTGGCTTGGATGGAGAGGAATGTTCAGTGCGAGTGCCTGCTTCTCTCACAGGTCGTCAGCTTCGAAAGATCATCAGCGACAAGCTTCCTCCCAAAGCTGGTGCAAGAGTTGCGCTGCAACAAGGACCTGAGATGCTTCTTCTAGACAAGACCCTAAGAGAATCCTTTGGGCTTGTAGACTCTGCATGTGTGACCTATGTTTACATACCTGCCAGCCTCTATGAAGCCTGGAGATTGCTTTCAGGCTTGCCCGTTGCTGATCACGCGAGTGCGCTGGAAGGCATGACCCAACTGGAAAGCCTCTCCTATCCTCATCAACTCGAGACACTTCCAAAGAGCCTCCAAAGCTGTAAATGTAGTTTTGAGACCGTCCGATTCAACAAGACCTTGGAGTGTATCACTTTACCCAGCCAGCTCCAGAGCTTAAGCTTCGACTACGATTTCAACCGACCCTTAGATGGACTTGCTCTGCCCAACAGTCTCCAGTCTCTGACCTTTGGCACGACCTTCAACCAACCCTTGGAGAAGGTGAACTGGCCGAGTCGTTTGCGGAGTCTAACACTGGGCGCTTCCTTCAACCAGAGACTCGACACCATTGCCTTTCCTGCAAGCCTGGAGAGCCTGACCTTTGGCGTGGCATTTAATCAGCCGTTGGAGGCGGTGAAGTTCCCTGAGGGACTCCAAGCACTCAGGTTTGGTGATCAATTCAATCATGTGCTTGGAGAAGCACTGCCTGCAGGACTCCAGGAGCTGATTTTAGGCTATGGCTACAGGTTGGATGCAATGAATGAAATGACCTTGCCTCATCATCTTGAGAGCTTGACCTTTGGCTTCAAGCAGAGCCTGGATCAAGTGACTTTGCCTGCAATGCTACAGCACTTGACCTTTGGTCAGGGATTCAATCAGACTTTGGACCATGTCACTTGGCCCAACCTTCAAAGTCTAACCTTCGGTTTTGAGTTCAACCGCAGTTTGGATGCGGTGACTTTGCCAACGAATCTCCAAAGTCTTACCTTTGGCCATAGGTTCAACCAGAGTGTAGATCACATTTCTTGGCCCAGCTGCTTGCAAAGTCTCACCTTTGGCTTCAATTTCGACCAGAGTTTGGACCGGGTCTGCTGGCCGCATGCTCTACAGAGTCTCACAGTTGACATGTCATTTGACCAGAGTTTAGATGGAGTCACTTTTCCCCATGGCCTAGAACGTTTGACCTTTGATGGTCGTTTCAACCAGAGTCTCGACATGGTTCCTTGGCCGAAGGGCCTCAGATGTCTCACATTGGGCCATCGGTTCAACCAGACTTTGGGCCAAACGACTTGGCCCGCGAACCTGCAGAGCCTGACCTTGGGCGGATCCTTCAACCACCCTTTGGTGTTGCCCGACAGTTTGCAGAGCCTGACGATCGGCGGAGAAAGGTTCAGGCAGAGGTTAGATGCTACAACTCTGCCCGGTGGTCTGTTAAGTTTGACATTTGGTGATGAGTTCAACGAGAGCTTGACTGACGTGAGGTTTCCTCAGCGTCTTGAGAGTTTAACCTTTGGCAATGATTTTGACCAGAGTTTGGAGAATGTGACTCTTCCCAGCAGCCTCAGGAGTCTCACCTTCGGCGATTTTTTTGACCAGAGCTTGGAGAACCTGACTTTGCCTGAGGGCCTTCTGACTTTGACTTTCGGCGAGTACTTCAACCAAAGCTTGGAGAACGTCCCTCTGCCCAGCACGCTGCAGAGTCTCATTTTCGGAGTTGAATTCAACCAGAACTTGGAGAAAGTGATTTGGCCCGCCAGTCTGAATTACTTGGTGTGCAAAGGCTATACCTTGAGCACACAGATTTGAAGCTTAGACCAGAGACTTGGGCCAAAAGCAGGTGGGCCAAAACAGCTCAAGATCACCGGAGCTCAAATGACCCCTCCAAAACAGAATCGTCTTTGAGACCTTCCACGTGCAAACTTGACCTTCATGTGTTTCGTGAGGAGTCAATGTATAGGTAAAGCCAATTCACAGGGTATATGATATTCACAGGGTCAATGTAGATCAATGTTTTCTACCCTAAGAATCTGGGCCCGAACCAACGGGAAGGTGCCCTGCAAGTCACAAAAGAATCCTCCACAAGCTCACCACCAATCACCACCATTTCGCGTTTAGGATCCTCCGTAGACTGCATCCCTTTTCATGCAACGCGACACCAAAGACATCTTGAAACGGGATGGCTCATGTGTAGCTGATCTTTTGCCCATGTTTACAACTGCCCTGTTGAAACTTCCACTGCCCTGTTTACTAGCACTTGAAACCTCACTGTTCTACACCCCCAAACTTCCAACTGTCCTGTTTACTACGTGTCACGTCGGTGACGCAGCAAACCTGCATCGTCCTTCGAGTGATGACAGTCATGGATGTCACGGGTCGAGCTCTCGAGAACCTTCACCAAAGGCACCTTCACTATCCTTCACTTGCTGCAAGCAGTCATCATCCATCTGCAAGCAGTCAGCATTCCCTGCAAGCACCTGCAATGTCTTTCATGCAGGCCAACGTTGTGTGTGAAGCACATCGGCATGGTGTTCGCCTCGATCTGCCGCAACGGAAGAGTTCGACGACAGTTGCTTCAACTGTTTGCATCAACTGGCTGGTGCTTAAAAGCAGAAAGACATGCCCGATACATGTGAGAAACAGGGGCCCTCCTCTTCCTACCGTGTACTACTGTTGAGTGAAAACAAGCCACCTCCACTCCCTGGAATCATTGATCATTCATGACTTCGCTGACTCGTCAGACAGGCTTCTTGCTCCTAGTAGCAATGCCCTTTGTTACTTGCAGCTTCTTGTTACTGGTAGTAAGGCCAGGAGCTACTCGTAGCTTCTTGCTCCTATTCCCCACTTCGCTGTTGTTTGAGACACATGGAAACGAGACACGTCGCCATGTGGGCCATGTCCGAGAAGATCCACACGATGGAACAGCTTGAGGGACTTCTTGAGATTCACGCGGCTGGGGAACAGCTTTTGGAAGCTTTTTTCCCTCGGATTTGTGCGTAAGAACATGTAAGAACCACCAAATGTCGACCACCTCTTTTGCCAAGAACTTTTTGAGTGGCTTCAAATTCTTTGCCGCCCAGCCATCAAGGCAGTTGGCTTGGATGGAGATGAATGTTCAGTGCGAGTGCCTGCTTCTCTCACAGGTCGTCAGCTTCGAAAGATCATCAGCGACAAGCTTCCTCCCAAAGCTGGTGCAAGAGTTGCGCTGCAACAAGGACCTGAGATGCTTCTTCTAGACAAGACCCTAAGAGAATCCTTTGGGCTTGTAGACTCTGCATGTGTGACCTATGTTTACATACCTGCCAGCCTCTATGAAGCCTGGAGATTGCTTTCAGGCTTGCCCGTTGCTGATCACGCGAGTGCGCTGGAAGGCATGACCCAACTGGAAGGTCTTTCAAAGGCTCATCAGCTTGAGACACTTCCAAGGGGCCTCCACAGCCTTGTGTTTGGCTTTCACTTCAGTCAAAGTCTGGAGACTGTGACTCTGCCCTCTCAACTCCGGAACCTCTCATTTGGTCGAGATTTTAACCAAAGCTTGGCAGGAGTCACCTTTCCTGAAAGTCTTGAAAGCATGACATTGGGTCAACGTTTCAACCAGAGTTTAAATCAAGTGAATTGGCCCGGCCTGCGACACTTGACCCTTGGCGATTCCTTCAATCAGAGCTTGGAGAAGGTTTCTTGGCCTAAATGCCTTCAGAGTCTGACTTTCGGCAGAGATTTCAACCAGAGTTTGACCGGAGTTGCTTTGCCCTCGACCCTGCAAAGTCTCACATTTGGCGATCAATTCAACCAGAGCTTGAAGGGAGTTACTCTACCTGCCAGCCTTCAGATTTTGGTCTTTGGATACTTGTTCAACCAGACCGTGGACGATGTACTTTGGCCAAGAAGCCTTGAGAGTCTGACATTTGGGGATGATTTCAATCAGACTTTAGACGCGCTCAGATGGCCTCAAGGTTTGAAGCATTTGTCATGTGGTGATTTCTTCAACCAGCCCTTGGATCGCGTTTGTTGGCCCACAGGCCTCCAGAGCCTACGCTTGGGGCATTTCTTCAACCAGCGGCCAGACGGAGTGACATGGCCTCGAGACCTTCAAACTTTGACTCTGGGAGACGAGTTCGCTTCGGAAAGCTTCACTTGGCCGAGGCACTTGCGCAGTTTGAGCGTTGGCAAAGGCTTCAAAGGCTTCAAAGGCTGGAGGTGTGAGGAATCGCATTCGCCTTCATGCCTGGAGACTCTTGTTTGCTGTGAGCTTCACCACTTGGATGAGACGTTGCCCGCGAATTCCAGCGGATTCAAGCAGAGATGGGACCGTGACCGGTCCGCAATGTGGGGTGGTTTAAAGCACCTGAGTTTGGGTGAGTTCAACCAGCCAGTGGATGCAATTCGATGGCCGGAACATTTAGAGACCTTGACCTTGGGTGATGAATTTAATCAGACTTTGGATGGCGTTCAGTGGCCAGAGGCGAAGACGGGGAAAGCAATTCTCAAAAAGTGTTACGTTCGTAGCTTCTTGTTACTAGTAGCATGGCCAGGAGCGCCCCTAGTAGTGATGATCTTGCTACATCTTGCTACTAGTAGCGATGCACTTGTTACTAGTATAGATGCTTCTTCTTGCCCGAACTTACCTGCAACAGTCAGGTTTTCCAAGCAAATCACTAGTTTTGATCAAGGTCTGCAACTGAACCATCATCATCCACTGTTACTAGTATAATGGGATAGACTCAACTTAAAATCATCTTCCTCTTTTGGTGGACACTCCCTGAAGGAACTTCCAACATTCACGTCGATGGGTTGGTAATGTTTGGTGTGGATGGGTTGGATGCCCTGGCCGATGTTCCCAACTCAGGGGAGTAGTTGAGTCGATTTGCTCCGTTGGAGTGGGCTTCTGTTGAGAAGAATGCGAACCTGCAGATTGAGAACCTGCAACATCGTTTTGGTTAGTTGTGTCGACGCCCCACTCCAACGGGTTCCTTCGAAAATACAAAGGATACAAAGAATACCAAAGACACAAAACCCTCGTGCAGCGACCGGTTTTTCTTCCCTGGCAGGGTCTTCTAGAGCTGAAACTGGGCAACAAGTTCAACCAGAGTCTCCAGCAGATCACAAGCTGGCCAGGTGGGCTACAGAGTCTTAGTCTCGGAGATCAATTCAACCAAACGTTGGAGAAAGTCGCTTGGCCCAGCGGCCTTCAGAGCTTGATCTTTGGCTACTTCTTTAACCAGACCTTGGCATCTGTGGCTTTGCCCAGGAGCCTCCAGTGCCTGGTCTTTGGATGCTTGTTCAACCAGAGTTTGGAAGAAGTGGTTTTGCCCAGCAGCCTTGAGGCTTTGACACTGGGTGATTGTTTCCATCAGAAGTTGGATGGTGTTACTTGGCCCCAAAGCCTTCAGAGTCTGACCTTTGGCGCTAATAGCGTGCAACGTGTCCAGCGCGATGTGCTGCCCATGAGCTTGAAATGCCTGGTATGTGGTGGCTTTCGATTGAGCACGATGATGCTCCAAAGAGTGGTGTGCTTTCCTTGCGCGTGCGCGTGCGCGGTCGGGGGCGCGCGACAACCGGGAGTTCCCGTCCACCCAGCTGGGGATGGAGATCCGGGATTTCCTGGTGGTTCCTTAAATCATGACATGGTTCGTGGAGGTTTTCCACCACCTGTTTGGTCTTTGGAATTCGAGGCCATTTTCCCATCCACGTCCACCATGATTTCAGAGAGTGGGTTGGCTGTTGATTGAACCAACGCCAGGCCGAACGCCAGGAGCCTGCTGCAGTTCGCAGCAAGCCTTTGATGCGGCGGCGACAAGTCTTTGCGGAGGCCCGCGGCGCTCATTGTTTGGGGCGAAAAGGGACCACTTCACGAGGGATTCAACGTCGCAAGAACATGATGCGCTGGGATGAAGCGGTCCATCCAGGTTGCCTTATGAAGGCCCTTGAGGTCCATGCTATGGCTGTTGCTGCGCGCCCAGGTGTCTCCAGCAGTGGTGGCGGGTGGTGCTCAAAGAGAAGCGCGCTCTCGCGATGCGAGTTGTAGGGCTGTTTCATGGAGCGCACAAGTCCAGTTCTTGCACCAACAAAAGGGTCTTTGTCCCAAGACGAGTTCTTCAGAACACATGTCCGACCTCCATTTTGAACACCCCCCCCGACTTCGCCACAAAAGGGCCGAACATGGCAGAAGCGTCGCGGGAAAATAGCAGCTGGCCGCGACGAAAAGAAGGTGTAGACCTCACTAAGATGAAAGTGGAACATAGAAACACATAGGCCCCTGAAAGACCACTTGGTGGGAAAATCTCCACCTCCATGTGATGCACCACCTTTGAACGGTCATGGGCTGATGTTTGGAGACGGGCCGTCTCCCAGCTGGAGTGAGGCCCTGGAGATTGGATCCACCAAACACATTCCCCACAAATGTCCAGGAAACGCAGATTTGTGGCACCACCGAAGTTTTCAGGAAGTTCCTAACTGGGATCACCCAAAGACCATTTTTTAAATCGTCTTGAAGTGGGTATTCAGATGAGGAGGCCGACACATCTTCAGAGACCGGCATGAGGTGTACAAGCCTCTGACTGGGGTGACACGGCCTGAAAACCCATGCCGTCAAGCTCAGACCGAGTGACCGTCTTCTGTTGGACCGCTTTCTTCACCAACCAAGCTGACCAACACCCTTATCGACCGGTGGACGCTTCGTTTTCCTGGACACGCACCGCCTAGTAGGTAGGCATGGCCACCCAACATGGCCACCTTCGCTTCCCTTTGGGATTCGCCCAGAGTTCTTTGCGCCTCCAAAAAATGGGGAAACCACTTGTTGGGTTTGGCAGAGACGCCGGCCGCCTGCCTTCAGCACTTGGCTCAGTGTTTGGAGTCCGAGGGATGCAGGCCACGCAGCTGGACGAAGATCAGGAGAGCCGAGCTGTTCGAGTCGAGGGTTGCTAGCAGCTTCTTCTTACTAGTAGTATGGCCAGGAGCTACAAGTAGCTTCTTGCTCCTAGTTGCGATGTCCTTTGTTCCTAGTAGCTTCTTGCTATTAGTAGCGATGCCCTTGTTACTAGTAGCGATACACCTTGTCACCAATAGCTGTCTTTTTCACATGACACTGGTGCCGGTGTGTTGCTCCTTGGGAAGACTCGGGAGCGCCTGGATGGGGGACATGGATGCTATCCTTCCATCGTTTTCCGATGCTCTGCGCCTTTGGCGCGGAGTTAAGAACCGGTTTTTCGGTTCCTGGGACCGTGCGAACGTCGGAGTTGGATCGTCTTCCACGGGGTCCTTTGGAGTGAAGCTGAGCCGGTTTTCGCTCCGGCCACCCGGTTGAAACCTTTCTCAAAGAAGCGATGCGAACGTGGATGAAATTGGAAGATTCCATGGTCTGTCTTGGAAGATTCGTTTCCACAAAGAAGGGGTTTCCTTCTACTTCCGAACGTGGGTCGGTTCGTGTACCACTTAACATGTTGGGCTCCCAAGACCCCAAAAGCACCAGTCGAACCATGTTGGGCGGATCGCCGGATCGCCTGCCTTGAAGTTTGGCAAAAAGCGCACATTGGATGTACTGTATTGTGATGTTATGATGTCCATTGGACACCCATTGGATGGTCCAAGCATGTATATTTAATTACAATTAATATACATTAAATTATGTGTGTAGCTGCAGATTCCAGCTGATTTAAGCTCAAGGCTAGACACCATTTCCAAGGCCTTCCTGATTCCCTGGCCCCACTCAACCTGATTCTCTGGGTTTCGGAGCTGAGACGAGGGCCATGCAGCCTTTGCTTTGCAGAGTCATTCTTGACACAGACAGCACAGACGCCCATCAAGTAGCACCTCGTAGCACTCTGGATCTACCACCGCACCTGGGTGCATGGACAGTCGGAAGCACCGATGTGGTGATACACCCCAGGACCACACTTTTTACTACATTTTTTTATAATACTGCTGCGCCGCTCGCCAGGAGAGCGCCACTGCCACTGAGCTCGAAGATGAGTTTGGAGCCACAGCACCGAAAGATCTGTTTCGTCGAAGCACAGCTCAGATAGAAGCGGGGTCACCCGAGACCCGAACCGGGCTTGGCGGCATGAAGACTGGAAGACCACGTCGTTCGGGTCAGACGAACTCAGGGTCGGGTCTCGGAACCAGGGCGTCTGTGTTATTTGGTCCAAGCAAAGGATATCAACACATATCAACAGCTCAATGGATAATTCATATATTTAAGATACCTTGGGTTAACATAAGTTATTGCTTGGCCAGTCAAGAGTTTTCCAAGACCAATCGGTGGCAGTCACCAGATCAACCATAGGAGGTCAAGACCCGGCAAGAGACCACAAACAGTGTCAGAAACCCTAGGGAACCCTAATTAGTGCTACCACACTGTTTGGGGAAAGACTCATGACATCGCGCCTCACGACATCGCCTTTGCTTTGCCTCATCGTCCGGCGCCCTCGCGCCCTCGTGCCCTTCCCGGCCCTGGCGCCGGGGAAAGCCGCTCCCTGCGGTTCGGTGTCATCGTCGACTCGGGGTTGGATGGTCACCCGACACCCATGAGAGACTCGACTCTTCCAGGGAGAGTGAACTTTTTTAGACCCCAATGATGTCCAGTATTATTCTACGATATCTTGACCGGCTGAAGTAAAGGAAGTTCCCCAAAATCAGGTCCCCAGACATCGCAGGAAGCATTCTTTTTATAGTCTGACCGACTCCCAGGGCAGACTCCAATGATTCGAAACCAGGTCAACCAGCCATGGCTGTGGGTCATGCCCGGAGATCCGTGGTATGACCATGTCAGGCGACGTCTGTTCTGCTCACGACCCACTGGTGGGACAATCCAGGGTCCCCCAATGCCACCCACCATGTCTTACTCCCCTGCTATTCCGACCACAATGGACCCGCAAAACCACGTCGGGTTGGTCGGAAGATGGTCGAAACCACAGGTCAATTCTCAGGTTCTAATCTAGGGCTAAGGATGGCTAAGGGTATTTCTTGTCCAATGACCTGACGTGTGCGTTCGTCGAACGAAGGCTCGAATGGTTGAACGGTCGCGAGCTGACATCAGGCCAGTGGAAGCAGAGGCACAGTGGATCTTCGTGGATTTCGCGGTTCTTTGGATCTTTCGAGACACCTGGGTTTTTCCTCCCCAACTGGACACAGGTGTTTGGATCAAAAGAGAACACTAGACCTGAAACTGCCAGAAACTTCGGATCCAGCGATTCGGACCCCGACGACTATTCCCTTGCTTCCGGACGGGAGCTGATGTTTTGGGAACTCCGCGGTGGGACCGGTTGGAACTCCGTTTCGACCGGTGTTGGTTGTTGTGGGGAAAAGCGAACGTGTGGGCGACCGTGTGGGCGAACGTGTGAGCAGAAGCGAGCAGGTTTGCGTACTGGTTTGCCCGGTTTTTTGCGTGGCCCTGGTTGATTTCATCGCCCCAAAACCGAGCAAGGAGTTTTACACTACAAAGCAGGGTCGTTCCCATTTTTTACAGTGGTTTCAGAGGACCAAGCACAAGTTACCCGAAGGGGTGGTTGATAGGGACCCCCAGCTGTCTAAGACATCTTTCGGGGTTGTGCCATCGAACCTCTGAAACCACTGTAAGTGGTCATCACTGAAGGCGAGTTCGTAGTCCATAGGAGTCAACCTTGAGTCAACGCATCGCTGCTTTTTTTGGGACTTTGGAAGGATTTGCTCTATTTGATGATGCTAACACCACGAGAGGATGGATGTCAAAGAGTCTGAGGAAAGAGTAGTGCTTTGGTGTCCGACAAGTCAAACACCTGATCAAACATCCCACTGTAGTCCAATTCCCATGTCAAAACCATTGTCAAAACCCTACCCAAACATTTAGTGGACCCAGTTCGACCCAGTCGACTGTGGAATCTCTTCACCCAGTTGACTGGTTGGTTTTCTTCGCGACGCACATGGAAGAGATCGCACGGATACCCCGATGAAGTGTTGGATGGTGGACCCCGATGAAGGGCACCACCGAAGGGTTTCAGGAAATTCCGAATCACTTGGGTCAAAACGAGTCGTCTGTTCTCCCAGAGCTGTGATTTGAGGCTTTCAAACCCACGAAAATCATCAGAAACTGCCAGAGAATCTGATGAAGGAGATTGAAGGATTGATGCGGACAAGGGAGCTAGGAGCCCAACAATGGCGCCGGTTTTCGCATCCATCGCTGGCTTCAGCAGCCTTCTCTTGGCTCGAAGAGATTTATATAATGTGGAGCTGTTTAGAGGAGGATGCTGTGAGCTTCCAGGAGTTAACATCCCGGAAGTTCATCTAAAGTCAGACACTGAGCTGGATTGCAACAAGACGACCAGGTTGTGACATCCTTTTGGTGCCTTTCGATGGAATACAGGTTGGGTCTCTCTTACTACCTGTAACAGTCGGTAAACAATTATCACTATCCAAAAGAACCATCATCATCCACTGTTACTGGTAAACGACTCAAAATATAGGTTCCATTGGTCTTTTTGTCATGTTGATCATGTTAGTGAGTCACCAAAGAACCCGCAGGAAGATTGCTCTTGGGACTCATTTTTCCGAATGTGGCCCCGTGTGGCAAATACCAACCACTTCCGATCAATCTGCAAAAAGCCTCTTCGTCGCCTCCCCTCCTCAAAACCACCCTTCACCCACCCTTCACATGTGTTCGTCCTTCACACCACCGATCAGATGAACACGGGTTTTTCCCAGAGGTCGGTCGCCGTGCGCGAGACACGACACCGAAACGATGGACCGCGCGGATCGGCCTGCGGCGAGTGGAGGCGGGAGGCGTTCGGACCGAACCGGACCGGGCTAACCCAACGGGGGGACTACTAGTAGCAAGGTGCCTTACTAGTAGTAACAAGTGCCTTACTACTAGTAACAAGAAGCTATTAGTTAATTTAAGTTAAATTTAATTCTAATAGCTTTTTGTTACTACTAGTAAGGCACTTGTTACTACTAGCGTGGCACTTGTTACTACTAGATAGGGGTTTCAGCCAATCTGACCGGAATCGGCTGATCTGAACTCGGCGCGAGGGCGGATGAACAAGATTGCTGAGCGTTCGGGAGAGAGGGCGTAAGGCGGAGAGGATTGCTGAGGGCGTTCGGGAGAGGGCGTTCGGGAGAGCTTGTTCCGATCCTCGGGATCTCTGAGATCTTTGGAGAGATCAACATGAACTCCGGCATCTGAGCGTGCTTCGTTCCAGGTGTACCAGGGATGTGCGTGCTTCGATGTGATAGAAGCCTTTGTCTCTCAGAAGAGGTAGTCCCACAAAACCTCCGAACAGGCAAAGATGGAAGAAGGATAGTAGGATTTATAGATGAACAACGCATTGGTTGTGGCATACTCCGGACTCCATTCCTTTTCTCCACTCAGTTTCAGAACACCTCTCTGCCTGAACCGCCTGGCCCTAAACGCCAGGCTACGCGCTGCCGGCGCGGCCCAACCGGCAAGCCTTGGAGGCGCCACCTGCGCGGGCGAAGCCACGGACTTCGGCGCAGGCGTGTGGATAGGGGGGCGAAGAGGGCGAACGGCGAACGCGCGTGCTTCTTTTTTCTTTCCCATTCTTTTTTCCTCCAGTTCTTTTCTTTGGCTTCGTATTATTGCAAATCTTGCTCTTTCAATCCAGTGGGGTTGTCGGTGTTGTGAAAGGAGCCTTGGACCAAGAGCTTCGTGGCGAACTCGAAGCTTTTTTTCCTTTTTGTCCTCCACACTCAGATTTCCGATGCAAATGAACGGTCACACTTCGGGTGACTCAGCATTCGTCATTTGGAGGCCGCCACTAGCCTACTGATGTAGAGTGATGAAACCACTAGCCCCTCACACACACATTGATGTTGGTTTCATCAGAATTGATGTTGGGTTCACTAAACCTACATGTTCCTTTTGCCACAAACAGTAGGCTAATTAGTGGTTACCTAAACAGTAGGCCCTCTCCGAAACAGCTGTGCAGCTGTCACAGCTCTCTCAAAAAGGAAGAAAACTCGGCATTCATGTGCAAGGCGGGACATTCCAATTTGGATGTCTTCTATAGGTCGTCAGGTCGTCTGTGTTTCACTCAACATTTTGCGGGGATGCGGGGAGATCCAGAAAAGTTGGAGACCACTCCTGTCTTAGCCTGCCGCGAAACTTCCACCGTCTCGAGTCTGCTTCGATCGCGCGGAACTTGGTGCCACGACCGTCGTGTTGGGCTCCAGCTGAGTTGCGCCAGCAACGCCGGATTTGATGGAAAAATGGACACATTCTCAAAGGATGACACAGCAACATCCTTCAGCACTAAAGACCTAAAGGTGTCAAAGTCGTTGCAGGATCCGCATCGAATCCTCGGACATGTTCTGCTTGGCGGTCTGAGCTTTCCCTTCCGTGTTCGGCAGTGAACATCTCTCAACAACAAGTCAACGGAGGGGCTCCTGGGGCTCCTGCTTTCAAGTTGAAACCTTGCCAGATTTGAACCACCATTGATTCAATAGCCTGGGCCTTTACCAATGAACCAATTTTGTTTTACTAAGGATTTTACACTACAAGATACTACAAGTCCCTCCAATTGCTTAAAAAAGAGGTCCAGTTCGGGCTACAGAACTTGGCTCCGAACCATGGCAAGTCGCGAAGCAGAGACGCCGTGCCCCGCTTGACACGTCAGTAGCCATGGCGTATGGCGGTGCTCAGGGAGAGGAAGAACTTTTGGAGATCCAAGCACCTCTGAGGAAGATGGGGAGCCGTCAAAATTATGAACATGATAGATAGATGTAAAACATGTGACATGACATGAAACAGGTTGTTTTTTCAGATTAAACAGCCATGTATCATGGAACAGTGCTTTTCAAAAGCAGCAGCGTGGATTTCCTCCTGACCCCTTCGTTTTCTGCATTTGACGTGTATCCTCCGGCATCTCTCCACCGCGTCCGAGAATTGGATGCAGTCGGGCCTCATTCCAGGAGCCCTGTACCCCGTTTGGTTGAGCCCCGATGAGCTGAAGAGTGGCGAAGAGGGGCGGTTCGATCGTGTTTTCACTCCATCAACAGATGTCTTTTTTTTCTGGTCAATCGCGATGCAGATTTTCCGCTCCGTTGGGTGGAAAAGACCCCAGTACGTCATGTAAAGCACGTGGCATGTGGTGCTAGCCGACCTCGTGTCGTGCAAGCCGACCGGGGGGGGTCTCCGCGACACGCGTTGGATGGCACTCCTCAGGTCCTGGGCTTGGATGGCACGACACTCCACGTCCGTGCTGCCGAAACGCTCTGTGGCCGTGAACTGAGATCGATGGTGCGGGACCGCTTGGCGTCCAAAGCGGGCGGACGGCTCTGCTTGCAGATGCTGGGGCACCGTTTTCGGTTCTCGAGCGTTGCGAGCGTTTGGGGAGCGTGTTGTTGCGGGGCTTTTTGTTTGGTTACTAGTTGTTTGTTGTTTTCCAACCGGTTTTGATCGAATGACAATTGATATTCTCAAGGGCCAATCCAATCGGTACAGCAGATATACTTTATATGAATTTATATGAGTTTATTCAACTGAGTTCAACTGGTTGCAATTAATAAACATAATTGAAGTGAACGGCCTGGCAGCTGAGTTTCCTCAAACAGTTACATTGATCCGCACATTTTCTTAAAAGTAGGCCATCTTGTGGATCCGCGAACATACCAAGTTGTGGGAGTGCTCGGTGAAGCTTGTTGTGTTCCTGTTGTGTTCCTCATCCGATCAATTCAAACTTGTTGATCAGGTTGTTCCAAGACTTTCATGTATAAATTGCTACTCCCCTGTACCTACCTTTCGCGTGGTTTAATATACATGTGTACTATATTTAGTGTTTACTGACATTCTTATTCCTAGCATCGCTCATTTTCATCCCCTCAGTAAGGAAAGGATCCGAGATGCTTTCCAGCAGCAAGACTCTGAAAGAAGAAGGCTTAAGGGTGGGATCTGCTGCCAAAGTGACCTATGTCTACACGCCCACGAACTTGCGGTTGGCCTGGATGTTTCTTCAGCAGCTGCCTGTTGATGAGGAGAGTCCATTGGAAGGGATCGTGGAGATACAGGGGATCAAAAGCCTCCATCAGCTGAGAGAACTTCCCCAGAGTTTGCGACGCCTGTCCTTTGACAATCACTTCAATTCCCGCACCGAGCAGCTTGGAACTATTTCTTGGCCAAGCATCTTGGAGAGCTTGACCTTTGGATTTCAATTCAACCAGACTTTGTGTGGGGCCAAGTGGCCCAAAGAATTGCACAGCCTCACGTTGGGCGAAAGCTTCAATCAGAGTTTAGAAGGAGTGATGTTCCCCTCGAGCCTTCGATCTTTGACCTTTGGCATTGGATTCAATCAAAGCTTGGCACGAGTCCATTTTCCCGAGGGCCTCCAGAGTCTGGTCTTTGGTAATCAGTTCAATCAGACGTTGACGGGAGTTGCTTGGCCTCAAGGGCTCCAACATTTGGCCTTCGGAAATCGATTTGATCAGAGTTTAGATGGAGTGACTTTGCCACAGAGCCTCCAAACCTTGAGCTTTGGTTGGGAATTCAATCAGACGTTGTCCAGACTCGCATTGCCCGTCCGTTTGCAGAGTTTAACCTTCGGCGATTTGTTCAACCAAAGTCTGGAGGGAGTCACCTTGCCTGAGAGTCTCCAGGTCTTGCGCTTTGGAGATTTGTTCAACCAGGCCTTGGATGGTGTGATCTTCCCCGCAAATTTACAAACATTAAAGTTCGGCAGCCAATTTAACCAAAGCTTCAAGCTTTCGGCAGCCAGTGAAGGACTGTCCAGTTTGCACTCTTTGACCTTTGGAAGGGAATTCAACCAAAGTATGGAAGGAGTGACTTTGCCACAAAACCTTAGCCATCTGACCTTTGGATTCAAATTCAATCAGCATCTGGATGGGAGACATTTTCCGTGCAGTTTACGTACACTGAGATTGGGTGGTCCTTTACTCAAGGCAGAATTGGACGAGAGGGCCTTTCCGAGGAGTCTAAGGAGTCTGACGCTGGACCAGAGTATTTCTGGGATCACTTTGCCCAGGTGGCTTCAGTGTTTGACTTTTGGTAGTGACTTCAACCAACCTTTAGATGGAGTGTTTCTACCTGAAGATCTACAGAACTTGACCTTTGGCAGCCAGTTCAATCAGACCTTAGACCAGCTCCTTCTACCTGACCGTCTTCAGACTTTGACCTTTGGCCGACGATTCAATCAGCCATTGGATTGGCTAAAGCGATGGCCCAGTGGCCTGCAGAGCTTGACCTTTGGTGAGAAGTTTAATCAACCCTTGGATGACGTGACCTTGGGACCAAGTCTTCAGCAGTTGACCTTTGGCGAGAAGTTCAACCGGAAGATCCAGAGGGTGACTTGGCCGAGCAGTTTGCTGAGTCTAACATTTGGCTGGGAGTTTAATCAGTCTTTGGACGGAGTGACCTTTCCCAAGAGCCTTCAGCAATTGAAGTTTGGAGTCAAATTCAACCAGAGTTTGGAAGGAGTAACTCTGCCTGAGGGCCTCCAGAGTCTAACCTTTGGCGATTTGTTCAACAAGAGTATGGATGGAGTCACTTTGCCCGATGGTCTTAAGAGTTTAGTCTTTGGAGATCTTTTCAACAAAAGCTTGGATACAGTGATTCTACCCAGCAGCCTTCAGAATCTCTCCTTTGGTGTTGAATTCAACCAGAGCCTGGAGCGAGTGGCTTTGCCCAGCAGTTTACAACACCTCAGCCTGATGGGATTTGCTCACCTAGATGATCTGCTCTTGCCCACGGGCTTACGACGACTGTCGTGCAATGGCTTGCTTCTGAGCGTCTTCCTTGACGGAGAGCGCGGAGGCGGAGACCGCCTGTCGGGTGAGTCCTCGGCGCTCTCTGGCGCGGAGGGCAGAGGCCTTTCTCCTCCGAAAAAAAGACAGCGATGGTGACGAGTAGCGATGCCCTTTGCTCCGTTCGTAGCGTTCTTGCTCCTAGTAGTAAGGCCAGGAGCCCCTACTAGCTTCTTGTTACTAGTAGCGATGCCCTTCGCTCCTAGCATTCACCCAGCCAGATTCACATTCTATCCCAGATCGGTGGGATTGACGGGTCTTTTTTCTCTCATAGCTATAGGTCTTCTGTTTGAATTCGCTGTTTGTAGGCATCCCAACCGGACCACTTTCACTCATTCAAAAACCGCTCCAAACGACTCACGACCCACAACCGGACCAACCCACCCGAGGCACGCTCTCCCAATCGCTCCGTGCGGCTCGTCGACGAGGCCTTTGGGCAAAACCGCCAGAGCGACCGTCCGCGCTCCAAAGGCGAGGCGATCTGCGGCTCGGTGCATCGCACGTGGTTTTTCAACCGGGGAGCTTGTGTGCCGTAGCCCATACCCAGTACCCCACAGATCCTTAGAGGTCAGGAGCTGACTGACCAAAATACTGAGTTGATCCTACCAAAAACACTACTCAGTGAAGCAAAGGGCCAGGTTTTACTGGTCAGACTTGACCTTTAGGGGTATGCCATTTTGTTGAAGTGCTCCCACTTGGCCGCTGGGGCATGGGTTTTCGCTGCGAAGCAATTGTTAGGCCCTCCGTTTAGCTTTGTATTCAAGCCAGAAAAGAGTTTAGCAATTGTTTGTGCTGGCTCATCCCACCTACTGGAAGTGCAACATTTTCCGACCAGTCGTTGGGTTGATGTGGCAACGAAACACTGTAAAGCCACGGAAAAAAAAGGAACCACAGCGTTTTGGATCAGAGACCTCATAGCAAGGCATGTGGTCTCAGACACCTCATAGAGGATGGAGTCCAATCAGTTGGCGCGCTTCGCCGCGCCGGCCGAGTTGGCTCCGGATGACCGACTGACCGGTTCGGTGGTGCGACCGGCGGTGTAGACGAAGATCTGCTTGAACCCCCCAGGACTGAAACAGGGCTTTATGAGAATCAAGAGCCATGATAGTAGGTCTTGGTGAAGCGCTTGATGATCTTTTCTAGGAATTGCTCTTCTGGGGAGAAAGTCCTTTTTGATTCAGCACTGAGATGTGGTTTTCACTTGAAGACTTTGACCAAGCTGCTCAAACAGAGGCATGTTCTTGATGCATGTCCAGTAGTTTGGGAGAACTTTCCATGGAACTATACGCTGCAAGTAAGTTCCGGAACACTTCTCCCGTCCCTAGATCAGACGAGAGAGCACGAAGAAGCTTCAGCCACCAGCGAAACCTTTAGCTCGATCCCCAAACCGGACAACCTCCTACCGGACAACCTCCTACAAGATTCTGTCCAATCATCATCTTGAATAGCTTGAAACCCTCAACCTACGGGCTGTGAAACCAACACACGAGAAACTTGTTCTCGTCGCCGTGACCACTTCGCTGAACGACCCAAGTGCCGCCCCGTGGCAGCCGTGGCAGCACCGCGGCCCATCCATCCAAGCGCTCCACGCCCGGGACCGCAGGGCGGGCGGCCCAAGAGGAGATCATCGAGGAGTTCTTGGAAGGCGACGGACGACGAACGGGGCGACAGGAGCGCACACACACTGGCGGGGGGCGGGGGGGAACCACCTAGCGCTCTCTTTTGCGGGAGAGAAAGGAAAGGAACCATAGGTGGAAAGGAAAGGGAAGGAGTTCTCCCTTTCTTGAGCCCAGTTGGGTCATTTTGGGGATGCAACATCGGATGCAACATCGGTGCTCTCTTGGGAGCTGTTCCATCGAGTTTTCGCTGGCTCCTGCCGCTAGTTGGTCGCAGTTCGTAGCATCCGGATGCCTCAGGCCTCTCTTTCTTTCGATTGAGACTTTAATCTTGTTTTGTCCAGCAATTCTCCGGGGGGTCACGTCATCACGTCATCCAAAAGGAGGTCGCACGAGTCGTCACGTCAGCACGTGTACAGAGGGTGCACTTTCAAACTCACCATCAAACGAGCACTTTCTCACCTCAGCTGTGTGAGCCATCCACTTCTTTTGCACCCCCGAGCAACACCATCTCCAAGCAACACCTCGGCTGCTGACAGGAGCGACTGTAGATTGATACTCTAGACTGACAAATAAAGCCCTCCAGGCCGAGGTTTTTAAAGCCCTCGTCTTGGGTGGGGTTTATCCGAGTTGACATGAGTTTCAAAACCCGCATCCGAAACTGACGCAAGGAACTCATTTGACCTCATTTGACAGTGGGTCATCAAAAACGACACCACTCAATGCGCTTTTTCCAGCAGGTTGGAACACTGGGTCAGACTGAACCTTGTTCAGGGGGCCATTTTGTGAAGTGCCCCACCCCCTTTGGGCCGTGTGGACGGTGTGGACATGATGTCTCCATCTTTACGGAGAAAAAACCATGATGTCTCCGAGCGTCTCGAAGACGAACTCCTCCAGGTTTGCTCGATGGCTTCCGCCCCTCGGAGGGTTTTGACGAAGCGTCGCGTGTGCACGGCCGCGTCTGATAAGGGCCGCAGATGGACTCCGTTTGGGAGCGAAGAAGAGGATGCGGTCGACCGGACGACTCCACCGCTGGATTCTGCGGATGACCAACGACTTCTCCGACCTCAAAGGGATCCGATTCGTGGCCTTTTTTTTCCAGGTGAACGAGCTCCTTTTGGGCTGATTCGTTCCGGAACAATGGGCTTCAAGTTCGGAGTTCACCTGGAGTTGAACTAGATTGCCACCTTAGAAATGGTTACGGGAGTTCTGGGTAGTTCTTCGGTTCCTATAATTAGGATTCTAACAACCATTGATTTGATGGGTTGTTCACCCTCGAAACCATCACGTGAGGTTCTCACGTGAGAGAACGCACTGACTGGCCATGTCTGGTGTGAAACATTCATCTTGTCAACTTTCCCGGGCATTCGACCGGCCTTCTTTAAATTGACACCCTGGAAGAGACTCACACACCTGAGTGAAAACCACGCCCGGTTTGTAGAGGAAAACTGTCTTCCAGTCTGGTCCATCCCATCAGGTTCCATGTGGACCTCTTCCCGGGAGTAAATCTTGTGACACTCCTTGGATTGGGCCCGCAACATCCACCGGCACCAGATTTACCCACCCGAACGCCCGACTCCGCTGCGAACATCACAACCGCTGGTGTGGTGGACAGAAAGACCCAGACAGAATCGATATAACACCAGCCCAGAAGGCATCAATTTTGCATAGTTGGAAGATCTAGGTACAAGTCAATCGTCAGACAGCCTCATGTCACACACATCAACGGCCACCGGACCGGCGGTCCGACTCCCGATCTCGTCTTCGGAGTCCATCTTCGGCGAACCGAACCCCACCGGGTCGTTCCTCGTCCAGTCGACCGGTCCGAGGGATGGCCGGCGTGGGCCACCGGAGCCCGGAGAAGGCACCCGTCTTGCAAGACCCCGGGCAGCTTGGTGCGGATGTCACGGACATCGTCACGGCCACCTCGCGTGACCTCGCGCGGGTGACGGGCGGATCGTGACGGGCGGGTGACGAGTGAGGGTTTACGACAAGGGTGACGAACAGTTTGGCCGCCAGAAGGAGCCGAAGTGGGACTTTTGAGATCTATTTTGGGAACATGTTTTCTTCGGTTTTTGTGGGGAACATAGAGTATATGTAGCCATACATGATTGTGGAAGGAGACTCCAACAGTTGCAGTTTGGAGCAGCCTGGTCATGCGTGATGTGTGTGTTGGGAGCAGCACTGAAATGGGAGAGTAGCTGCGGATCCGACAGCTTCTCTGTTGACCACGAAGAGACGGCGGAGCTAGCTGGCTCTCTGGCTCGAGCACGCTGGCTCCAACGCTACCAAGCAGGTTGTGCATCCAACCAACCTGAGGCATGGCTCGAAAAAAGGCACGGCTGAACAAAGACATGTTCCCTTTGCGTGTTGGTAGATACAATGGGGAAACTAGTCAACCATCAGTTCAACAACCAATCGGAAAGCTTTCCAAGCAACCTGAGCCGGCCATAGCCAAGAGATCTGGAGTTCAGTCAGGTGTTGTGATAGGGTTTCTTCTTTCGCGGTTGGGTCGCGTACCAAAATTGCTTGTGCTGCGGCTCGAAAAACGCGTTGCTTGTTTCATTCAAATCCCTCTTCTCTCCATCGACCACGGAGTCACCCTGTACTCTGACTTCGATCTCTCGCTCCGTGACCCCCCGGCCGAGCCGTCGCCCGTCTCTTCCGTTCTGACCACGTACGGCCGAGCCGTCGCCGAACGACCGGACAGAACAGTGGGACGTTCCGCGAAAAACGGTGCCCCGTACGTTGTTCTTTGTTTTCCTTTCCCAAGAGCGAGAGCCCGTTCGGGGGGTTCTTGCTTCTGCGGGACGCAGGGACGCACAGAGCCCCCCACAGGGCTCGTTCCGTGGTGGGTCGGTGCCGATTTTTTTCCCCCCGGCCGGTCACGGTCATCACTCACGCGGGTTCGGTTCGTGGATTCCGTCGCCGAGGAACTGGCAGGATTTGGATGGCATCCCAAAGGCGTGGCTATTTTTGGGATAGCTTGTTGGATTGGCAGAATGTTGGATTGCCAAAGTTTACCATTCAACCAGCATTTGATCAGAACCAAATCCCCAGATTCCACAACTCTTGTCCATGATTCAGAAAACACTATATACCAGGCCACCCTAAGGGGTTTCTATTGATAGCTCCTCACAGGTTAAGGGGTGTCCATCAACCACCCCTTGTGGGTCCTGGTATACACGTTGTATAACCGTTAGTATTTGTGAGCACTGAGTCAGGCATGGAATTCACTGCTAGTTGAGAAAGGAATTCACCAACTCACCAGATATGGCACGGGGGAGAGGGCAGAAGTGAGGACCTTCATCTCACACATTTGATCGATCGGATCTTCTTGACTTCAGTGAGGAAGATTTCATCAAAAGGGCGGAAGAACCATTCCCGCGGCCTTGTAAATTTTTGGTCATTGAGAAGGCACTCAGGAACATGTCATCAAACGAACCAACCTCTCTGGAGAAAACCTGTCGGGTGGTTCCGATGTGCGCAGAAACCACCTCGCCCCACTTCCTCCGTTCCGACCCTTCCTTCGTGTTCGGGGACCGTTGGGGACGCCACGCGCCACGGCCTCGACCGCTTCGCCCGTCACGGTCTCGACAGGCGACCGCCAGCTTTGAGAACCAGAGGAAGATGCAGATGTTCCGCGAGCTCAAGGGACCCGGGACAGGGCAGAGGCGGCGGAGGCATGCGGAGGCGGATTTGGGCACCAAGCCAGTGGGGGAGTCTCTACCAAGGTCTCTGGTGAGTATCCCAGGATCCCTCAGATGAGCTAGGCCAAAATCATATTGAGGGGGGTTATCCTAACATGCTTTACTAGGGATTACCGTCGTATATGGGACTTTCGACCAACTGAGCTCAGAAGTTTCCATAATGGTGAACCGTTTGGAAGGATGTCACCATCCAAATGGTAGGATGGGTTCACCCAAAAAGGGCGGATGAGAAGTTGGAGGATTTTTCAGACTGAATCATTGTTTCTTGGGTCACTCACAGATCTTATTGGGACAGTTTGGATGGCACCCAATTTTGGAACCAGCGAAAAAGATAGGCCGCTAGCACCCACACTCTGAGGTGGAAACAGAGTGTGTCACGCATTTGAACCAGGTGGTCGAGTTTATACTTTTTCCATGATTGGGGATGTATGTTTTTCCATGTGTTGATCTGTCCGTATTGTCTTCCATAATTGTGGTGATTGGTCGAATTTGAAGAGTCACAGATGGTGGGTGGTTGGTTGGTCCTTGAGACGGTTTGCGATGGTTGGCGTTTCTCATGGATAGTGGTGGGTCTCTTCCGTGTAGCTCCAAGATGCTTCCAAGAATCAATCAAACAACCATCTACCCCAATCCCCAGCCTTCAAAGACTATTTAGAAATATATCACCTGAAATATCACCTGCCGGCTGCTTTTCGGTCACCATTGGACACCCATTGGAAGTGCCAGGTGGTTCATTTGATTTCATTTGTAGTATAGTGGTTGGAATCCTGGCGAACCACTCCTTAAAAGTCAGCGTTTGCACGAACTCGATGGTCGCCTCTTTTCTCCTCAAGTTGGTGGCGCACGCAAACACGGCTTCCGCAGTGCGCTGCGCGCTTGCAGTGCGTGGTTTTTTGCTGCTTCGACCGCCGCGAACGCCGCGAAACGTGATGTGGATCGGATGGACGGCGATGGATCGCCGGTTCCGAACGGGTGAATCTCCGGAAGATGTGTTTCATTTTTTCTCAGCTCCGAAAGACACGAAGAGCTCCCGAGGATTCCTTGATTTTTTTTTCGCCTGAATCCGGAACCACCATTGCTTGACTCAGGACTATTTTCACTACAACACCAGGTCAGCACCAACTCCTTTAAAGGTCTTTGAAGATCAACACGGGTCTCATTGGAAACGCGTTCACCCAACGAAACGTGGTTCACATGGTGCTCACAAAAGCCATGGTTCACAGGTGAGCACCATGTGACCGGCTCCGAGGTCCAGACAGTCGGCCTTCGCCGCTCTGGGTGCTCGGTCGGCCGAGCCTTCCGACGGGCTCTCGGTGACGCTGCGGCGCCACGCCCTGCGGGCGCCTGGGAGTGTCAGACCGGGCAGACCTGGGAGTGGTAGGCTGCGTTCGTTTGCTTCGTCTGAATTCAAACATCACGATCTCCTCTCAGTGAGGTGTCAAACAGGTTGGCCGTTCGCAAGTCGGTCCAAGATGTCTGCTGACTTGCTGACGGTCAAAATCATGGTGAAACGGTCAACAGGATGGATGGAGACACAGCTCTTTTGGACACTTGTGAGGATGGAGACTTCTCTTTCGTCGTTTCAGAGTTTGGGCATATCGAGTATTTGGACAGCTCCAACTTGTGAGGCACTAGACCTCTAAGGGGCCATTAAATGGACCCCAAGAATCCGTGGTGCTGATCCATAACCCCTGGTCTTTGGCGAAAATCGCTCGAATGTTTGAGTGGTGCTGTCAACCGCAAAAATCATTGACCAAACATTCGTAAAATCATTGAACATCATTGAACAATTACTGATTGAGATTTGGTAAAAGATTTATCCCTGTTTGACAATTGGTAATCTTTAGTAATGAGCAAAATCATTGGGTGTGCCACGAATCCTAGGGATCAGATTGACCGACTTGGAGACATAGAGAGAGAGACCCTGCAAGAGGAAGCGACCTAGGCCTTCTTGGAGGAGACGTGTGGAAGCACAGCCAATGCCTTCGACATCATGGCAGGCGACTCCCAACACAAGAAGAGAGGATCACGAAAGACATCCATGTCTTTCGTGGTGAGGGAATGAGGGAAAGGGGAAGGCCTCCATAGAGATCACAAATTGCAGGCATGGGCATAAGCTCAACACCATATCTTGGCACTCCAAGAATTGTTCGTCTGGTCCAACAAGCGGCCAAGGTGTCTTCGCTGTTCGTCTCAACCGTTCGACCACCAGGCTTGGCGTTGAAGGCCTCCCTGGGGGCCAGTGGCACTGCGGAAGATCGGCTCCGCTACGCCTTCCAAGAGGAGGAGCGGCTCCAGTCCGACCTTGGAACAACCGACCCTTTCTTTCTCCTATCCTGTCTGGGCATGTCTGGGGCGCCGTTTGGTTTGGAGGTCCAGAAGTAGTGGGCCAGGTAGTCTATTGTGGGGACCTGTTTGGATGATGGGGGTATGTTCTATTTTTCTGACCGACAGAAGGAGAAAGGCAGAAAGGTCCTCCAGGTCCGTAGGTTCGTTAACGCCGGTTTGAAGAATGGACACGAAGAATGGACAGCCTCAACTGCCCATAATACGCAGCAATTGTTTGCAGGTGAAGTTATTTTTTTCAGACAAATGCACTACACCCGACTTATCATCTTCAAAGAGGTGCAGATTTGAGACGAGGCAGTTGGCATGAGCAGCTGACACAACGGACAGGAGTGTCTCACGTCGCAATCCAGCTCCTGGTCTTTTGAACCGTTTGGGCAAACCATGCTTGTTCAACCCAAGAGATGTTCCTTTCTCATGGAGGTCCATCTCAATCATTCGGTTTTTTTTCGTGACTTCCCAGACTCGTGGTGTTCGGTAGACTCGTGGTTGTCGTTGGTGCCCTGTATCGGAACTTCTGGACCCAGACTTCACCCGATCCGCTCCGCTCCGACGAAAGCCGATCTTCCACGGACGCCGCGCCCCGACCGCTTCCCACACCCCGATCGAGACGACGACGCCTCTCGCGCCCCGTGGCAGGAGTTCCGCCTCGCATTGACGGGGCTCGGGTATGGCCTGGGTGCCAAGGACGGCCTTCGTTGCGTCTTGGCACCGCACTTCGCCGGGAGGTGCGGTCTCTCGCCGCACGGCTGTTGAGGAGGCCTGGTGGTCGGCGCTCTTCGTGGCGGTGGATGTGGTTCGGAGACCCGGGTGGAGGCGGAGGGCCGGGTGGGCGGGAGGAGTTTTTGGGAGCGTGCTTGCGTGGGAAAGGACTTGTGACAGAGCCCTCCATACCTGGGAAATCCTGGGAAGGTGATGGAATCTTCAGTTGTTTCTGATTGTTGACTGGTATGAGCACCATGATCCTCGGAAGATTATATCTGGCGCAGCACAGAAGGCAAGGAAAGGCATTCAAACTGAAAGTATCGTTGCAAGATGTGGGCTGACTTGATTTTGCTGGGCTGATGATTGGGTGTTCTTTTGATGGGGCAAGGCCGAGAGGCCGAGACGACACGCGGAGACGACTCCTTCCATTTCGAGAATGGATTTACATCTCCAGACGGGAGTTTGATTTCAACAGTCTACATTAAGTCTTTCTCATTCCGCTGATTGCCATCTACCTGGTCATCATCACGGAGGACATCCTCTTTTTCGCGCAAACTTGTGGAGAACATACGCTGGACATCCCAGAGGTTTGAAGTGCCATCTGAGCCATGAGTCCTCAGTCCTCAGACTGAATAAAGCTGAATGATGGACAACTGTTTCATCCTTAGAAGGTAGGGACAGACACCCCTGGCACCCCAACCACCTTCGACTTCGGATGTTCGACCTTCATATCCTTCCAAATCCAAGCTTTTGCCCGTGCCTGGCTCGGGTGATGGGATGAGAAGCGTGGTCGATGACCTCTGAGGATGCTGATGGCGCTGTGACTTTGCAGGAGAACTCTCGTTCTCCGCGCCACGTTGCGCGGGGGGTACCATACGGCACCACTTCTGGCGCCAAAAAGGTCGGAGAAGAGGTCAAGAAGAGGCTCAGAGGTTGGGATGTTGTTGAAATCGAAATCTGTCGGACGGACCAACAAGAGAGCTACTTCTTCCCGGTTGGCAGGACCTCTACGATGCGCTCGTGCTGGCGCTGCCCAACGAGAAGGAGACGAGTAGACGAGTGTAGACAAGCAAGATGAGTAGATGGAGTATATTATAGATATGGCTACAAGCCCATCCGCGCCTGGGCAGACTCTGAATTTTTCCAGCTCCTGCCGACTGCTGTAGTGTGGAATGCCACAGACTCTGAGTTTGCGGCAGGTTTCTTCTTCTAGAGATACCGTTCAAGATCCCCACCACTCCGGCAACATTGGCTACGGGTCAAAACGGGGGCACCTTGGTTGACCATGGTTGACCATAGAAAAGGAACAGAATAGACCACTGGGGAGGTCCACCGACCAGGGGTCAGGGGTGTGGGCTCCGAGTTTTGACTCATTTTGGTGAGGCCAAGCCGTTCGATGCATGCAAAGGCCCGAAGGGGCTACTGGGGTGCCATGACTTCAACAGATTCCTGCAGGAAACATGTTCAGGTTCACCCTACCTGCATGCCTGCCAGTTGGTGCGCGATTTCAATCACGTCATCCATTTGTTGCCTCTTGATTCTTTGCGGAACCCACGACCCAAAAAACGCCTCTTCCACCCACGACTCTTCCCTCCAGGAGGCGCCGCCGGTCTTCTTCACCGATTCGCCGCGCAACCTTTGGGCGCGCGACCCGAGGTGGGCGCGGCTGGCGACGAGCGCGATGGGCGCGGGCGCACGCAACAGGTGAACGAAGGCTGACACGGAAGAAAGACAATTGCTTTGGAGTTACAGGCTCAGTGATTGTGTTTGGAGTCCTTTCTTTCTTTTTTTTTTGCGTTTTGGTTGTTCACATTGTTTGCTTACAATGCTTGTAATCGGCTCATGTTTCTGGTTCGGGATTGTTTCTCGTCTTCCAGATTCCCATCAATCCATCAATCCAGTCCAAGCCTTCCATCCAATTGCTTAGAATTCTGCGGCATGAGGACATCGACAAACCCCCGGATTTGCCCAAACACGAAAAGCAACACACGCTTTTTTTTCTTCTTTTTTTTTTCCAACACGGTTTATTCAGTTTATTCTTTGAGCTGCCAAAAAGTGCCATGGTCGTGTGGCGAGGATTTCCTTTGGAGGGGCCTTTTGTAAGATCGAGGTATCTAGAATCATGTAGATATTTCACCAGTTTTGGCATTCACTCTGCTGCAGAAATTGATTAAGAAACAAGACCAGCTCGTTTGACCAGCTGGATTATGACTCCACAATGTATTATAAGGTTCATGACTCCTCTCGAGGCCGGAGCCTGAACCTTTGCAGTCCTCAGAATAGACGGTGGATTGTTTCATATTAATTCTATTTGTTTCTATCATCCCACAAGGATCAACTATCGATGGCTCCTTTTGAAGTCGTGGTCGCACCTTTTTGCAGGATCCTATCACCAGAAAGAGGTGGCAAAATATCTTGCATTTCCAGAGTAGATGCATGTGTGTATGTACAATGTAATGTAATGCAATGGAGTGCAGTGTAGTGTAGTTACGTAACGTAATGTATCGTAACGTCATGTATGTAGTTCGGGATAGATACAGTCTATGCACATACAGTGTCATCCAAATCAAGGCTTCTGTGACTGTTTGACTGTGTTTTACGGTGTTTTCGAAGGAGGCCAGAAGTCTCCCTGGCAGTCCAGTCGACTTAAAATGGTCTGGCGAACGGTGACCCGAGTGACTCGGATTTTCCAGACTCAGAAACCTTGGGCGGTCCCAAAAAAGTCCGCGTTTCCTGGACTTCTGGGGTCTCCTTCTATTGGTCTCATCCTGTCATCAACTCTCCTCTTCACCCCATCCACAGCCGGGCGATGCCAGGATTCCGGCCGAAGGACACTTCGGAGCTGCCGAAAAAGTGGTGCTGCAGGGTGATCATGTTTGGCCGGTTGCAGGGGTGGTTTTGGAATCTGGATGATCTGCACCATCCCCAGGCCAGCAACTGGAACGTCCTTTTGAAGCCCCCACCACACGCCCGGACCACGATCTGACTGATTTCTCTTGACAGGCGACTGACTCGTTGCTGCGGTTTCAACCCCCCCCCCAAAGGGCTGCTGCTCAGTCGCCCGCCCATTCGCGTCCGCCGGTTCCGCCTTCGTCCGCCTTCTGCGTCCGTTCCGGTCGCGGTGTCGTCAGGTGTCTCCGACGGTGGCCGAGCTCGAGGATTTGGACCTGGAGCGGGCGTTGTCGCAATTCATCAAGGATGAATATCCGGATGAGGAGCCAAGCAGAACCAGCCGTTGGGGGCGGTGGTTTCGGTTTCCGGGCGGAGGTTGGATGAGATATGATGAGATATATCTTTGACGATTTTATGGCGCTGGAGGTTCGGCCGTACAACATGTCACGACGCCTGTTTTCGTGGTGGGTTTCGGTGTTTGGGTGTCTTTCGTTGGCGGTTTCGTGGCGGGTGCTCGGGGTTTTGGAGCGCCAACATCGTTCTTTTTTCGTTGGGAGAGAAGAGGCGAAAGGCTCGAGAGTGTGTGAGGGACGAGGTTTCCCAAGAAAAGAGTGGGTGTAGCTACACAGACTTTCTGATGAAGTTGGGGTTTCATGTAAGGGTCTCTTGTTTTGGTTGGGGGGTTTTGTGGGTTTTCAGAGGTCCTCGCTGAAGAAGGCTCTTCAGATCTCAGGCTCAACGAGGGCGCTCCGCTCCGTGACCGACTGGTCGGTGCTTCGGCGCCTCGCTCGGCTCGGTCGGCTCAAGAACCACTGCGGCGGCCGTTCCGGCCGTTCCGCAGTGGGGGACCACGGGAAGAAACGCGGGAAGGGGGGGGGGGGGGGTCAGGACGGGCAGGATAGGATCTGGGAATTGATCGATACTTTGCGTTCTTCACCCCAACATGGAACTTCTACAAAGGCTGGTGGTGTTTCTTTTTTTGATCCGCACTTTTCCCACTTGCTCTGAACTTGTTTCCAAAGTTTCTGCGCAGAAATCACCAGACCATTGCCAGCAAGTTCCATCATGGACTCCATTGATCACTTGCTCGTGAAGTAACATTGGCACCTCATGGACGCTTTAGAGTCATCGTGAGTGTGGTAGTTAGAGGAGGTCCAGGTAAATTCATATTTGTCATCGGTTACTCCCCTGGAGAGCACCGCATGGACCCCCAAACCCACTGGGTTGTTTGCCGGAAAATGCTCTAACCCACGGGTCAATTCTCAGGATCCATCGTCGAATTCGGCTGGGGAAGGACGGGAAACTGAGAATGTACCATTGGGATGTACAGTATCTGCCCTAGAAGTCCAGTTCGACTATATGTTGACCGGCTGAAGTAAAGGAAGTTCCCTTTCGGGTCACCCAGTCAGATCATGACCGACTTCCAAGGACACATCTCATCGACACACTCGTCCCGAAGTCGGTCGACGCCAGGACGCCGGCCAAACGGCGGAGACCGATGCTCCACAGGAGCTCCCACGTGCATCGGCATCGCCCAGGCTCGTTTTGAGGGGATTCATGCGCGGTGACTGAAAGTCTGTACCAAGCAAGGGCAAATTGTTCCGCAGTTCATCATGTTCATCTAAGAAGAGACCTCTTCTTGGGGAGAGTTTGCGAAGAAGATGGGTAGCCCGTGTTCTTCTCAGGCAGGCAATGCCATGGTCATGCTACCATTAACTGCTTTGTGAGCACTTCCCGATTTCGACACCTACCAAGAGTATATAGTCGCAATTGACACTATACCTGAGTTCTTTGGACATACCCACCAACACCAATCCACGATGTCATCGTTTCATTCCTTCCAGCGCGTGGCTTTCGTCCAAACGACGTCTGCACCAGGCGGCCGGAACTCGTGTGGCAGTTGGCGCCTGACGAGAAGACTCGGAAGCCGGGGAACAACGGGAGAAGGGAGACGGTGGTGTGTTGGTCATGAGGTTCGGGGGGACGAAAACGGGCTCGAAACAGATGAGAGACATGACAACACATGAGGTCAACCATGGTCGCATGATGTTTTGGTCATGGCGCTAGGCCTTTGCAACAACTTTTCTGATGGGTTCTCGATGTTTGCGTCTGAAAGGCATTCCAGAAGTACCAAGGACTCCGGCATTGGCCCCACCGGTAACATCAACTGGCAGGGTTGGTGAAATGGTCATTTTGTCATTTGATGTCCTTAAAGACAAGTTTCTGCTGGGTTCTTCAGTGCCCGCATTCACAGTGACTGGTCAAGGAGGTGATGTTTCAGCCCTGACGACTGAGCAGTGAGCGGCTCCAACTCAAGATGCCGGGTCAGAAGATTTCCGGGAGTGGAAAGCCATCAGCTCTTTGGTCTTCGAAAAACGCGCGCGAAGACATGCGATTCCTACTTTCCAAGACGTTCGCAGCGTGTGAACATCCGTCGTGAGCTCCGCGAAACCGCTCGTAGCGTTCGAGTCAGGCGATCGAGCGCCCTGTTCGTAGCGTTCGATCGCTTCGTTCGGTCGCGATGCCCTTTGCTACTAATTAGTAGAGTTCGAAGCGTTCACCTCGTTCGTGGCAGTGTAGGTCAATTTCGAAAGAACATGCGACGACCTCGGGGGCGAACTGGCCGAACGACGTCGCTGCTTTCGTTCTGGTGCGTTTGAGAGATCCTGGAGGGCTTTGATGGGGGGAACCAGCTGACATGCACCGGAAATGCAACAAACCTTTACCGAATGCCCCGTGGGTAGAATCCCTTTCAAGACCAATCAAGTTCATCTGAGAAATTTTCGTTTGATGGTTCGCTTGACATGCAAACTGTGGCAGTCAGATGGCAAAGTCCAGACACTTTGATTTGCACAAGCACGATATTCCACCAAAACGTGGCCTCCCTGCGGCTTGTGTTTTCTCTAACGGTCACTGTTCACTGCATGGTGCCGCAAACTGAAGACATTGCAAGGAGGACTTGTCCGCGCATCGGATCGCTTTGAACGTCAAAAACTTCAGAGCCAAGCCATCGGTGTGCCCGGCGGGTGCTCGGCGGCCATTGTCGGCCTCTTGATTGCCGCGAATGGTTGCATGTAGAGCTGCAAATCTCCTGGATGGCGTTCTTGTCCGGTGAACTTTGGGCCTGGCCCGAGACCCACTACAGTCCATAAGTCCACAACCTACCCTACTTATCCACCAAGTGTACCATTCGTTTGTCTGTAGGGGGGTGGGTAAAGCAGGAACCATGCAGCGTTTACGAGTGTCAAGCAAGAGTGTCCTACAAGAGTGTTCTTTATGCGTGACGTTGCGACTAACTTCCATGCAGCTTTGCCGGAATCCTGGGAAGGATGATGACATGAGGCCACGATGAGCGCTGAGGCTTGAGTGCTTGCAACATAGGCGGCGCTTGGAGGTGGTTGGCCGCGGAGCAGCAGGCAGTAGGAGCTGGGAGCTTCAGCTTGAGGTAGCCGCCTGGAGCCTGCTAACCTGTCCAGCGTAGATGGCCCCATGGTGCAGAAAGTGGTCAAAGCAACCGCAGACAACATGGTTTTTGCCAACGGTGTTGGCCTCCAGCTTCAACGACCCCACTTCTGAAGTTCCCCCCAAAAGGCATGGGCCATGGTCCAAATAGACTCTGCTGCTTCAACACTGTATGATGTCCGCCCCGAGCCCACATGCGCGCCGTACCCGAAGCGTCGCAAAATTCAGAAAGACTGCAGCCAGTTTTGTGGTTTTTCTCGGAACAGCTCTGCCAGCTGCCGGTTGAGACTCCGCGCATTTGATGCACGAGCAGCGGCATCAACGTTTCGACCAAGAACCGCATTGACTAAACAGTTGTTCTATGTATTTTTGGATTATGTTCGTCAATTTTAAAATCAAAAGAACTATATAACTCCTCAAACTCTCGCATGCCTTTGTAGGTGACTTTTGCACGATCAACACTTGTAAGAGGCTAGGTCAAACTTATCATCTCTTGGGCATCAAAACTGGACCTTGCTGTTTCACGCCAAACACCCCACGGGCCCCGCCCTGCGGGAGGTCCGACTCTGACAGTTGGGAACAACTCTGGCAACAGCTGAAAGGCAGAGGCGATCGACCAGACTCGATCGACCGAAAGAACATCTGTTTCAACCGAGACATCGGTCGGTTTTGGAAGAGAACTGGAAATGGTTGGCGGGTCAACTCAAACCGTTTGGTTTATGTTGTACCTTCTCTACAATCGGCTGTGTTTTTTCCCTTGTTGCCTGCCCCCCCCAACCCAAATCAACGATTCATGCTTGTTCATGGTGCTTTCGCCAAACGATGCAAAACCCGATGTTTCGGCACGCCTCTGGTGCCTGAGACCTGGTCCATCGGTCACCGGTACTCTCCGGTCGAGGCTGGAGCGTGGTGTCGCCCTGCCACAATGTGAACTACTGGATGCCGTTCGGGAGTCCAAGCGGCAACGGTCCGGGCGGAGGTCCGTGGTCCGACGCGCCCGACAGCGTCGTAGGCGTAGACGTCACCTTTTCGGGCCTTAGAAATCCTCTGAGCAAGGGGATGCAACGCAACGGTATGCCAACGTGCCGGGCTCAGGGCACAACAGCGCAGCTTTTTCTAAAGCTGAGTTGGCACAAACCCTATGCCAGAGCTAACAAAAGGGCAGACAGTTCTAAGTTGCCTCTAAGCAAGTGTGTTGCATAGGAAAAAGATGTCTCATGGTTCCGGGTGGACCTTGGCCCACTCCGACATGTTATTTTTTCTTTTTCGGGGTTTGGGGTCTATGCAGCAGACTTGTTTGTGGGGCATGCGCAAACGTTTCTAGTTCACGCGACTTCACCCCATCATCGATGCTGCTTGATCCTGTGCTCCAGCATATCGGAGGCCAAGACCAAGACAGTCCAGAAATTCCGTAAGATTCCACAAGATTCGTGTAAAACCAAAGTGGAGCCGACCTCCAGTGTTCTTCCATCTCAAGGATAATCATTCATTACTATTATGGTTGTTGCTTTAAATATATTACATGTTTGCCACAAAAAGCCATGCCCCGTTTTTCCGAAAGGGCTTTCCCCACCCCCAAAACCACCCAACCAGGTGGTCAGTCAGGCTCTCCTCGGGCTCCAAGTGGGGTCTAAGGCCTGGTGTTGTGAGAAAGCCGCCCAACAAGGTTCGACGTGGCTTGGACGACGTGGCTGGTGCGGTTGAGGAAGGAGGGTCTCCGAATGGTGCGGCAGTTCGATTATAAGGAAGAACACACGTCTGTAGCGATGGCCTCCAACCAACCTAGCGATGGCCTCCAACCTCGAAGCGATGGCCTCCATGTCTGTAGTACGGGCGGCACTTCGACGATTTTCTTCACAGCTGGTCGACGAGTTCGTCCCGGAATGCAGTTCCCGGCAGCACGAGTTCCCCAAGCTCGGAGCGTCGGTTGAGGCGTCTCGGGTTGACCCAGCTCGGAGCCGAGCATGTTAGACCATCATCTTGGACTCCCAAAAGCATTGACACGAAGGCTTTTGCAACATCACTGGGGTGTTGATGGTTGTTGGTACCTCCCAGGTTTCGCAGAGAGAATGGCCCAAAAGCGGTCCTTTCATGGCACACGGTGGTCCTTTCCGAAGGCCAGGCCTGGCGTGGTCAGAGAAGATCCTCTT